AACGTTGAACATCCTAACGAATTTACGAGTGCTGTGGTCTCCATGTTGATGAGTCGCCTTGCAATGAAATTTCTTGCAATGGACGACGTTGCGTGTGTGTGTTGCAACTGGCTAATGTGAGTAAGGAGAGGTGAGCGTGTGGATGCTAAGGCGATATGTGCTAACGGATTATGGACAATATGTACGCGTGCTTGTGCATTGTGCAAACAGATGCAGAGAGGAGGAAGGGAGGGAAAAGCAGGGAGAAGGAAAGGAGAGAAGGAGAGAGAGAGAGGGAGAGAGAGGGAGAGAGAGAGAAAGAGAGAGAGAGAGAGGGAGGGGGAGAGATTGTATATATATGAATGTGTGTAAGTACGCGCGCCCTCGTGTGTGTGTGTGTGTGTTTCTTTGGAGTAAATCAAAAGGGAGAGAGTGGCTGGGAATTGTCACCATAATGATACACCAACAGAAGAAAACTGCAAATTGACAAGATAAACTTCATTCATAGACATAACCGTGAATGCGGAAATAATGCAATTGACAATCTAGCACACGTTTTTCTTTGATAATTCAAGCTGAGACGAAAGCATTCGCACTTGCTGAGAGAGAAGAACATCGAGCTCGAATTAAGCTTTCCTCTTGGCTGAGAAACCGAATGTCAAATTCGAATAAAGCTTGCCTATTGGCTGAGAGACAAAGACATGAAGCTCGAATAAGGCTTTCCTATTGGTTGAAAGACAAAGACGTTAAATTCGAACAAGGCTCTCCTATTGGCTGAAAGACAGAGACGTTAAATTCGAACAAGGCTCTCCTATTGGCTGAGAGTAGTCACGTCGAGCTCGAACATAGCTTTCCTATTGGCTGAGATGACGGACATCATATTCAAACAAAGCTTTCCAATTGGCTGAGAGAGACAGGGAGGTCAAATCGAAAAAAAACTCTCCTCTTGGCTGAGAGACAGAGACGTCGAACACGAACAAAGCATTCCTATTGGCTGAGAGACAAGGACGTGAACCTTGAATAATGCTTTCCTATTGGCTGAGAGACAAGGACGTGAACCCCGAATAATGCTTTCCTATTGGCTGAGAGACAGGGACATCAAATTCAAACAAAGCTTTCCAATTGGCTGAGAGACAGAGACGTGGAGCTCGAACAAAGCTTTCTCATTGGCTGAGGGTGAGTCTTTGCAGTCTTACAGATTCTGACTTTTCCAAATACTCCTTCGGCTTCAAGACGGCAGCCTGGAGCTCTCTGAGGTTTTCTGTTTCTTCGACAACATTTATATATATTTTGGGGGTTAGAATCAGCGATGCATTTTAGCACAAGGTCTCTCCCTTTTCTCAATTCTATTTTTATCCTCTTCATCTTGAAAATGAAGATGAAAATGATGAAAATAAATTTTAGCTGAACATGACGGTGAATACGATGGTGAGGATGTTGATCATTTGCATCAGCATCATTAGCATCTTTAGCATAATCATCTTCATCACTATCATCGTCATCATATTCATATTCAGGTAAATTTCATTTTCATCCTCCTCCTCCTCCTCCATCTCCTCTTCTCCTTCTTCTTCCTCCTCCTCCTCCTCCTCCCCCTCCTCCTCCTCCTCCTCTTCCTCCTCCTCCTCCTCCACTCGACCCCCTCTCCTCCTCAGTACAAATTCCCCATGTAACAGGTGTTGTTCCCAATTGAGTACACAGACCAGAAGGGGAGGGAGGGGAGGGGGGGAGGAAGCGGAGGAGGGGGGGGGGGTAAGGGCCGATTGCTTGCTCCAGGAACTCTTATTAACTTTCCTTGTGTTGTTGCTTTCTTTCTTTGATGTGTGATGTGGTGTTTTTTTTCTTTGATGTTTGTGATGTTCTTATGATATTAATCAGTGTATCTCGTCTTTATTTTTGAGAATTGATTTGTTTATATGTGTGTGTGTGTGTGTGTGTGTGTGTGTGTGTGTGTGTGTGTGTGTGTGTGTGTGTGTGCAAATAAACATTCTTCCTCCACTACTTTCTCTTTTCTTTATTCCAATTTCCTTTTACAGCTTTCAAGCTAATGCAATCTCCCCAATCCCTTTATCTTTCTGGTTATCTTTATCATTTGTTTCCATTTTAAACAATTCGGTCGAATCTCTTCTTCTTCTGTGCCTTCTCCCTCTGTTTTACATTCAGCTTTAATTGTCTTTTCTCTCCATTGTGCCTTTCTCTCCCTGTTTTTTTTTAATTTCATTTTGGTTTAAGCTTTTCTCTGTTTAGAAGAGGAGGAAGAAGAAAAAGAAAAGGAGGATAATGGTGATGGTTATGATGATGGTGAAAAACAAAAATAACAAACAATAATAATGTGTGTGCGTTTGTATGCGTGTTTGTATGTGTGTGTGTGCGTGTGTGTGTTTGTGCGTGTGTGTGTTTGTGCATGTTTGTGTGTGTTTGTATGCGTGTTTGTATGTATGTGTGTGTGTATGTGTGTGTGTTTGTGCGTGTGTGTATGTGTGCGTGTGTGTTTGCGTATACATGTACATAAAGAAACTCCACGTGTGGCCGAAGGGACGAAAAGTCTCATTTCTTCGGGTCAAAAGGCGTATGAACCAACGGAATGCTATTCACGTAGATTGGCCATTAAGAGAGAATTCCACCCACCCCAAACATCTGCTGTATTTCCCTTAGTGTGGGCGTAAAAATCGCATTTAAGT